TGACTTGACTCCAAAAAATTATTAAAATTCAAATTCAAAATATCTAAATTTATAATTCTTCTAAGACGTCTAGCTTTATAATTTCCTTTTCGTCAGTATGCATGGTCGTGAAAGGGTAGTGAACAACCCTCTCCGATATCTGTATGCCCGGAAGGTTGCTGGCCAGCAATAAAAGTGAATTACGAAAAGAATTGAGTTAGCTTACTTGGTAATCTAATTTATCGTATTTTTAAGGACATTCTTTCTAATATTTAAAACATCATTGATACATTTTCTAGTTTATATTTAAACATCTCTAACGTCTTCTGTAAATAAACCATCATTTCTAATAAAAACAATTATCTAAAATATTAAAATTGTCTTTACATAAACCCCAAATTATCTTTTTACATAAAATTCAAGCAGATTAAAATTTGGCCTTATTAAAATTCAATTCGAGCTGATTAAATTTTATTTTTTTTACGTATTAAAATTTGAGCTACTAAAATTTTTTTTTATGCATTAAAATTCGAATCGATTGGAGTTCAACCTGAGCTATTAGTCCTAATTAAAATTCAATTCGAGTCGATTAATATTTATATTTTTTTTACTTATTAAAATCTGTGCCACTTAAAATTCATTTTATATATATTAAAATTTGAGTCGATTAAAATTTATATTTTTTTATATATCAAAATTCAAGTAGATTAAAATTAAATGCAAGTTGATTAAAATTTGATTCGAGCTAATTAAAAAAAAATTATTCAGCTTGAATCGAATTTTAATACATACAAAAATTTATAAGATAAAAAGAGTTTAATTGAAGATATGTCTATCTAGAGGGGGTGTTGATTAAATTTTTTCTAAAATATATCGTGAACAATTTAGTAAAATTATATTCTAGTTAAGGTCTTTAATTTGACATGTGGCACCACTGAAAATTTAAAAATTAGAGAGGGTATCATTGAAGATATTGTAAACTAGAGGGAGTTTGACTGAAATTTCCCCTAAACAAAGATATGGACCAAGAGAAAAACAAAAAGCCCAAACCCAATATTTTTTTTTTTAAATAAAAATAAATGGGCCATCAATCTTAGTGTTTTGAAGCACAGCAAATACAACCGCAGCAGTATCATCTGTAACATATTAATAATGAAAAAAGAAAAAAAAAATTGATTTGAATACAAGATAAGCGATCTAAAGTCAAGGAAAAGAGGAATACTCTATTGAAACCTAAAAATCGGATTTAATCTATTAATCTAATAATGTGATTTTATTATAACCGTTAAATTAACACTAAGTTTTAATATTTGATGAAATTCATGATCAATTCAAATAACTATAGTAAATTAGGTAAATAAATTATTTTAATAAATTAAATCTCAACATCCAATAACATTGCTCTATATTAAAACAGGACAAAGACAAACATGTTTGCATGCAGGCAAAGGGACACAATATATGACTTGGTAATTCGTATGTAATTTCAATGGAAAATGCTGCTTCTGATTTTCCAACCTACGGGACAGGTTCGCGTTTACAACGGTTCTCGTAGGTACAAGGGCGGGCGGAAGGATTGACGCCTGAGACAGGAGGAATTCGGCCAGTTCGAGAACCGGCCTTAGGGGAGGGTCGTGGATGTACTTTCATCTTACTGCCATCCTCTGCAAAAAAAAATCATGAAAATGAAATATCAGTGAGAGGAAAAAAAAAAGAGGGAGAGAGAATATCCAATGTGACTGTGCTATTTAGGATTATTAACGGATCAGATCTTATTCTATCTAGATTTGAATTCAATAAACAAAATTCGAATTTTGAATCCAATTCGTTTATCCGATAGATTTTAAAATCTTAATTCATATTTGCATCCACTAATAATTAGTTATCCAATCTAATTATTCGATCTAATCTTAAAATTTAAATCTCAACAAAATTTCATAAAAAATTAATAATTTTAATTTCATGTCAATCTCATTAATAATCTAACTATGTATGTATGTATGTATATATAATAATTTTTCTATGTATATATATATATATATATGTGGAATCAATTTTTTATCGAATCAAATTTACATGTATCCAAATTCAAATCATATTTGGATCAAATTCGAATAAACATATTACAATGTTAATTTATATCCGATTAAATGAACTTGAATCGGGATTAATCATTTTACTATGCCTATCTGCAAAAAAAAACAGTGAACCGAGAGAGAGCTTTTACTGCTAGGCGTAGAGGCTAGTACTACTCCCGCTGGGACGATGATGAGCCAAATGATGAAGCAGCAGCATACGATCATGAAAGCAATGGAAGAAGGAGATTTGTATGACATTTTTGCAATATGATCTAAAGGAGGATGCATGTGCTTGGCAACCACAAACGTATATATATGCCTTCCACCACATGAACTTGATAAGGGTGAAAGAAGACTCCAAAGACTTGTGTTTGGGAAAATTATGCTTTGACCCCTTAAGTATGATTATCTTTTATATTACCCCTTCAACTATTATTTTTTTAAATTTTGAGTTTCGATATCGTCCCTATATCCAAATTTACTATTTATTTATTATAGCGGGATGACCTTTCGTGACCAACACGTGATTTGGGTAAATGAGTATATTTATCTAGTCAAAAAACTTGATTACATAGGTTAGAGAACCTCAAATTATTTCATCTGATTTGAAGAAAAAGAAGATAACAAACCCAAAAAAGAAGATATAAAGTGAAAATTTGAGATGTACCATAAGACCAAGAAATTTATATCTATTTATCTAAGAGAGATATTTTATACTGAATAAATATATTTTTACGAACGAGTCATGTGATATCCCTCTATCAAAATAAATTAATAAATCTGAATCGAATAATTGAATTAAAACTCTGTTAAAACATTTAGGATGTAATTATTGCAATTAAACTTTAGAGACTAAATAAAAATTAGCTGCATACTTTAAGGATATAAATTATAAATTACCCCAGCAATTAACATCCCTAATAAATTTGACAATTATTTTTTATTTTGTCCTCCAAACTATGTAATTTGTTTCATTTTGCCCCCGACACATTGACAATTTTTGTCAAAAAAGATAACAGACATTTACATACGGAGTAGTGTGAAATAATTCAAATAGTTGATGAGGCAATGTAAAAAATTTAATAGTTTAAGTGGCAAAATAAAATAAAATCCATAATTAAAGGGATCAAAAGTATAATTTTCCCAACTCGTTTTAAAAGTTGGAAAATTTGCTCTTTGTGACTTCGAAATGGTAGGTTGACTACTGGGAGAGTGGCAAATACGTCGATGACAGCCAGCTTCATGGAGATGGAGATGTCTCTCGCATGACTTTTTGTGATCAAGCATATAATTATTTTTATGTATATTTATATATTGATATATAAATATAATTAACTATTAAAACAAATAATAATATATCAATAATAGAGAAAAAAAATATATATAGAAAGTGTGAGGAGAAATTTAATAGAGAGTCACAATTCCCTAAAAATTAGTTACAAGACAAAAAAATCCTTACGTGATTCATTAATATAGTAGATTGTTTACCGTGTATTCAAGTAGAACTACTATCTATAAGTGAGCTTGTCATTTATACATTGCGAGTAATCTATAATTGAATGAAATTGAGTAAATATGACCCATGGTTCAAAGTTTTGTTGGTTCCAAATTTTCGATTTGGGATTCAACACATGGTAATGCGGGTTATTGCTATCCTAATGCAGTTGGTCTCAATGTGATTGTTAATGCTAATAACTATTTTGTTTAGTAAGGACAAGCTATCCAAGTCACTAGTCATTTTTTTTTAATAAAATCTCGACGATGCGAGGATATATTTTATTAATTCCAAATTAAAGATAACAAATTGCTAGGGGAGGACATAAACCTCAACCCTTTAAAATAAATATAAATACAGCATGATAAAATTAATTTCATGATGTTTATAAATCAAAGAATTCCAACAAAAGTCTACCAAAAAGTGACTTTAATTTCACCAAGATCCAAAAAATCTGATACTCCACTAGATGTAATAGAGCCTAGATGGAATGTAGAAAATTTTTCCTCCTCAATGCTTTGATTTTCCGTTGATCTTGCTACACTAATAAACGAGTCATTGAACTAATGATTACAACGTAAATCTCAAATATATGAACTATAATCAAATTACATGTGTATTAGTCAAGTTCATGTTTTAAGCAACTAAGGACACTTAAACTCAAGATGTATGAGTCTTCATTCACGCATTGTAAGACTACTAAGCCAATCCGTGCAAGTTAATGCGAAAAACTATTTAAAAGAGTGGCTAAACTAAGAAACTTTAGAAGTTTAGGGATAGAATTTATATAGAGCAAAAAAGTTGAAGACAACTTGTCAATAAACCCTGTGTAAGTGTAAAGCAATAAGGAACAGTTCAAATGGTAGGTCATGAGGATAAAAACATTGACCTTGGGTCAACGTAGTCTACTGAAAGACCAAGTCAAGTGTCCCCAAAGATTAGATGTTCTGTCAGATTCCTTTCCAGTTTTTCTCTATTATGGCCTTATATGCAGGTTCTCATTTTGGATGGTTCATCCTCTTTCTATTGTAGTCCATTAATTTTAAAATTGATACATCTCTGTTCCTCATGTGAAAATATTGTAATGTTGGTATATTAAAGTCACTAATACTATTGTAGTCCATTAATTTTAATATTGATACATCTCTGTTCCTCATGTGAAAATATTGTAATGTTGGTATATTAAAGTCACTAATGCTATTGGAACATAATTTAGAAACTTAAATGACCATTAAATTGATAGTGTTGGGACGCAGTGATAATTTAATGTTGGAACCCACTAACAATCTAATGTTGCAACACTTGAAAAACCCCACTATAGTTCATTAATACCATTTTCATCTTATTTTCTAGACTAATTTAGAAATTTATTTCGTAATCTAATGATAGTAGTACATTAGATCCTCAAATTATATCACACTAGTTATTTTCTCGGATACAAAGCTAACTAACAAACCTGAGGCTTTACTGTTTACATGTGGTGGGGTTCCCGGAGAACTAACAAGGTTTGCTGGTGCAAGAAGGAGCAGTTACATTCATCCCTGCAGAGCCGTTCATGGTCAGTGTTGGTGGTGGCGGTGAGTTCACCAGACAAGGGTGGCCTCGCTTAGCTTCACGGATGCACTCATTGGAATATACAGTCATGCTTCCAGCAAAAGAGGCGTTAGCCACCGCGACTGAGGTAGGAGAACTTTGGCCAGTTGAAGAATGGGATATAGGTGAGGGATTTCCATGTACTCCAATCTTACTTGGCTTATCTGCAAAAAAACCCAGGACCGTGACGTGGGTAAGAGTTAAGACCGTGATACCGAAGGAAGTAACAGAACTTAAAATTCGAGCAAGTCTAGAATAGCATCCTAGAACTCTTTTTGGGTTCCTTTGATACTATATTAGTCGAGCATTAATGTGCTTATAGAGTAAGGTTATTCTGCTATCAATGAAATCGAGAAAAACAAAAAATAAGACCGGTGCATTTCATATAAATTGAAACTTGTAGCTTGATTTAATAAACAAAAAAAATATAAAAAAATTAACAAAAAAATATATTTTTTGGGTCAAGTTATTCTTTTTTGAGTCAAATTACTCCTCTTGGGTTCTATTTATATACAACTTTTTGGAGTGTTTAAAATTGATCATAAAATCTTAGAATAATTTTAAATTGACCATAAATAGCTCAAAAAGTTATAATTTTACGCCCAAAAATTGTATTTTACAGTATTATTCACAAAGCATTTTCAGATTGGTACCCTTATACAAGAGAGAGAGAGAGAGTTACTGCTAGGCGTGGAAGCTAGTATCCGGGCAGACATGACTGGTTGGTTGAAGATGAGCCAAATCACGAACAAGTAGCATATGATCATGAAAGAAGAAGAAGAAGCAGCAGCAGCAGCTTTGTATGCCATTTTCATATCTGACTATGGATAGGATCACAAATACAACTTACCCAACCCCCCCCCCCCCCCACACCAAACCCACCCACCCACGATGGAAAAAAAAAGTGGAAGGTACAAGCTCTGTCCCCCCTATGAGTTTCAAAAATATTTATCCACCCCCCGTCCGCCCTCGTTAGTAGGTTAAATTTTAATCCCTGCCCCGCAAATAAATTTTGATCTCCGTCCCTACTCATAACAATTAATTTATATGATTTTAAGAAAAAAAATCATAAAACTCACAAATGAATTTGCAAGGAGGATGAAAACACATTATATATTTCTTTTAATGAAATAAATCATGAAGCAAATATGGGAAAAAAAATTAGGTTTAAAGCAAAAAAATTGATCAATGAGTTGGGATTGGATGACACAAAATGTAAATCTCAATCCACAAAAAACAATAACAAATAAGAAGTGTAAATCAATTCTGTAGAGCTTGTTAAGCAACTATCCTCTTCCTACATCACTGTAAAAAAGGCATAGAAATAATAGATTAATCCCATCTATGCTACTTTTTATTTTACATCATACCATCTAAAGTATGGCCTTAGAGAGTACTTAAACACCTCAATTTCTTTATGCTCTGCCCATAATGTAAGCACAACACTGCTGGTCAAAATGAAAGGCCATCGGGATGTTTGACAAAATCAAATGCCTAGAGAAAAAACATTAGTGACAAAGAAAGTATTATATCACCCATAATTAGTATCTAAAACTCTAAAAGCATAAAAATCATGATCCCAAAAAAAATTCTATAATTTTTTCTTGTATATCCTATCTAGTGAAATGCTATAAATCAGAAAATTAAAATAAAAGTTATTTAGACTCAAGACATATAGGTAGCCTAATACAAAATAGTTCATACACCAAAACCAAAAAAATGTGAACTACAAGTGAACCAAATATGAACTCAATTCCTGTTATCATACACCCAAACTCATATCAAGTGAATCACAAAAGAACTTCAACATTAATAACACAAACGCGAGAAGAAAAAAAGAAGAGCTCAATAATTTTACCTTGTTGATCACTAAACTTTTGGCTTATACCATGTTGCCCTATTTTGCAGGCCAACAGGAACCAATTCTTTCTTCTTTTGCAAAGGAAACATGAGAAACATAACCTAATGTCAAACTAATGAATCCAAGCATCAAATTTACACGTTATTTTTAACTTTGGCGATGGTCAAACACAAAGAAATGGAACTGATATTCCTAGTATAGTAGTCGTAGCCCATAATTGGTATATGAGAGAGAGAGAGAGAGAGATAGACGTGTATATGAGCATGAGAGAAAGAGAGAAGGATACGTATATGAGAAAGCATGAGAGATACAGATGTGTGAGAGATGGAAGTCTGGAGTTATACACGAGGTGAAACTCTTAGTCCAAGAGTGGAAAAAAAATTAGGGAGTAATTAGGATTGTTGGATCAAAAGTCTATAACTGATTTGAGTCGTGAAAAGTCGAGACAAATAAAGTTATCTCCGTTATTATATAGATAAGATGTATTAGTATGTTTAATGGATATATTGGGATAAAGAATTTTGATGTGTTTTTTTAGTAGGGAATTAATATAAAACTACTAAATATGACAAAATTTTAAGTGGTCACAAAGAATTTATTAAACAGAAAATACAATAAAATGACTTTTTTGTTCCAACTTTTTACCTCCAAAAAAAAATAAAAACCGTTTATGTTTTCTATTTTATAAAAAACAAAAAAAATTACCAAACGCAACCTAAATTGAGACAATAAAAAATTCATGGACTATTTTAAAATAAGTGATAAATTTTAAAGATTAATTATGATATTTATCCAATAGAGTATCTAAGCGAATTGGATATGGATGTCCAGCATTAGGGATGATACTAGACCGGGGGAAAGTAGAGATTCGTCCAAACCCACCCTGTTTGGACCGAGAATGGACCATACGTATTGAATGACGAAGGTATAAAGGGACACCCGTCTGAACCTGTACGGGAATGGAGATGGGGATGGACCGACACTTACCCCCTTCCTGGCCTTGCCCTGCCCCGCTACACCCGCTAGATTTTTAAATCTATATATATATATATATATATATATATATGTGTGTGTGTGTGTGTATGTGTGTGTGTGTAATATTAAGAAAGAAAATTGTACCCTGTTACACGTTTATATTCCATCTTCCCTTCACAAAAGTAAAAGAGTAATTTCTCAGAATTAGCATTGCATCAATTTACTTGAGTATGATAGCTTAATGACTATTGTGATACATATAACAAATTCAACTAATGAATTTTAACTCATGTCATTAATCAGTGACTGTGAAATGAATCTCTTTTTGATTATTAAAAAAAGAAATGAATCTCTTTTTTTTTTATCTATGAAACGAACTTTATTGGTCATATTATTGAGAAATATGTTTCTAACAGAATATTATGTCCAGTGTGATGAACGGATCAGGGCAAGGATGGGGGCGGAGATTAGAATTTACCCCGCAGGGAAGGAACGGGGATTAAAACTTTTCTCTTTAACAGGGATGGATCGGAGATGGACAAAAGATTTTTAAGCGGATATGAGGGTGGAGACTATTACCCCTGCCCCTGCCCCAATCCACTGTCATCCCTATCCAGCATGTTTAATTTATGTAAACATTTATCTTGAACTACCAACACCTATCATTGCAAGTAGTATTTTTTTTTTGAAAGTAACTAAACATATATAACAGTGACTATGCAATATGCACCATCATGCGATCTTTGTCATAACTGTACAGGAATTTTATTTTATTCCTTTTATAGTTCAATTAGTAATAATCTGTGTCTGAAGGTATTATATAACATAAATAAATTGAGAACTAACTAGATAATATAAGTATTTCAAATAGTAATATGACTTTCATTCCTTTTCTATCTAGGCCCACTATTTTTCGAGGAAAAAAAAATTTTGTTGATTGATATTTTTCTGGGTCCCTATTTTCCCCCATTGCCAACCTTGTTGATGCAAAAAAACCTTAATCCTCATTTTGGATTAATTGCTTGAAAATTGGATAAATGTGAAGCAATTAAAACTTTAAATATCTATAATGTAAAATATAACAAACTTTAATAAGTTCATTCAATAGTCTCAAACAGACTCATCCAACGGCCACCAACATCCCTCTCAAAAGTATTCATATTAAATTTTACCTTTCTCTCCTCACTTTTTACTCTCTCTGTGGGATCTTCGCTTCTCACTTATCTAAATTAATCAATTGATTTACGTTGTACCATACGTTTAAACACAGGTTACCCCTAGTCAAATTTATATATGGCAATGTTTTCATGGTTATCTATATAATTTTTAACCCTCATAGCTTAATATAAGTCAGTATGGACTAATGCAAATGGTAAGTCTACAATAATGGGAGAAAAGTGCGAGGCTGGAAGCAAAGCCATGAGGACACAGACATTGGTGTCGGATCAAGCTAGTCAAGTTAGGGTTATCTGTTTTTCAAGGCTCAATGAACAGAAATTTACTAATATTTATCTATTAAATTTTCTCTTCTTATTGATTTAGATACTTGGGTAATGGTAAGATTATTTCGTTGTAACTTGAGCAACAAGGGTTTGAATTTTGGAAACAATTAATGTCTCTGTTTGCATTGATTAAACTATGAACATCAGGCACTGGGTTAGTTTTTTTAGTCTCTTACAAGTAAGAGTGATGCACTTTCTATATTTCAAAGGAAGAATCCTTGCTTCCATCCTTTGTGTTTAGTAAGAAGGGTGGAAAGTAGAAATGATTGATCTTTTTTTTTTATTGTGTTTGGTAAGAGAGATGAAAAGTAGGAAAATTTGATTTTTTTTATGTTTGGTAAGATGGAAAAATATATATATATATATTTTTTTAAAAAATATAAGTGCATATTTTATCATTATAACTATATGTGAAATTAATATATACATAATATGTAATTGATAAATATGACATATGTATATATCAAAAGATATATAGACAAATAACATACATTTCAACGTACATAATTAACTTTTCATCCCAATTTTAGAGAGATTGATTTTGGTGAGTTAGAAAGAAAAATCATACATTCATTTTTTAATCCTTCCTATTTTTCTTCCTTACCTAACACGATGTTTTATTTATCCTTTCAATTTTTCATTCTTCCTATTTTTCTTCCTTACCTAACACAATATTTGGGGGATGTAGCACAAATTTTGGAGAGACATTGTAAGTGCTGATTTGCAACCACTTAAATAATAAACAGCCCAACCATGCTGCCATAATCTAAAAGAAATCAGGGGTACTTGAGGGAAGCGGCTGTGCTAAAATAGAGACATTGTAAGTGCTCATTGCTACCATTTAATTAGCGAAGAGACTAGATATAGGGAGAGAGAACCACAAGACTCAGAATAATTTCTTAAATACATGTTGAGGACTAGACATCACTAAATATTATATATCTTCACTTGATTAAGAGTAAAAAAAATCTATTCTATACATAATAGATTTAAATGAATGAGTTTTTTTGTGCAGGCAAATCTATACTATACATAATTTATATGAAAATTTTTGTTCCAAAATGAAATTAAGTGGGGACAATTGTCTGAGTGGCTTCGCCCCTAATTAGAAGCAATGTTAGTTGTACCAAATTTACAGACCTAATTTATTACAATTTTTTGGATGAAATTCACTTTTAAACTAAGGGCTAAAATACATTAGGTTTCACAATTGGGTTATCAAATTAGGTATCCAATCATTAAAATATGAGCAAGAGAAGACCATACCCCCCCCCCCCCCCCCCCCCAAAAAAAAAAAAAACGCACACACGCAATACCCTGTCAGAACTTGTGTGTTAATATAAATCCAAAAGGGTTGTGCACAATGAAGTATAAGCTCTACTGGTCTGTCATGTTCTCACTATACAACTAATAAAAGTATTTTAATATAAAAAATTGTTGATTCATTATTTTATTTTTACAAGTTCTTAAAAAAGCTTATAAATATCCAAACTATCATCA